CTCCTACTGATTTAATTTCATTGCCAGGAATTGGGCTGCCCAAATTTTCTATTTCTTTCTAAGTCAAGAGCTCTCTTTTTTTTTTTTTTTTTTTTTTTTTTTTTTTTTTTTTTTTTTTTTTTTTTTTTTTTTTTTGGTTAGTCTAGCTAAACATTTGTCCATCTTATTTATTTGTTCAAAGATCCAGCTCTTAATTTTTTGACCTTCCCTCTTTTTGTCTCTATTTCATTTATTTCTGCTATGATCTTTACTATTTCCTTTCTCCTATGACTTTGGGCTTTGTTCCTCTTTTTTAGCTTCTTTAGATATAAAATTAGATTGTTTATTTGAGATTTTTCTTGTTTCTTGAGGTATACTTCTTAGAACATCTTTTCCTGCATCCTAAAGATTTCAGTACGTTGTATTTCTATTTTCATTGGTCTCTAGCTGTTTTTTTTTTTTATTTGATTTCTTTGATGAGTAATTTGTTGTTTAGTAGCATGGTATTTAATCTCCACATTTTGGGTTGTTTTTATTCAGTTTTATTTCCCCCTTGTAATGGCTAGTGTAATACCATTGTGGTTCTAGAAGATGCTTGATAGGATTTCAGTATTCTTGAATTTGAGACTTGTTTCAACATGATCTGTTCTGCAAAATGTTTCATGTGCTCTTGAGAAGAATGTGTATTCTGCTGCTTTGGGATGCAACGTTCTGTATATACCTGTTAAGTCCATCTGGTCTAATGTGTCATTTGAGACCAATTGTTCCTTATTAGTTTTCTATCAGGATGATCTATCCATTGATGTAAATGGGGTGTTAAAGTCCCTCATTATTATTGCTGTCAGTTTCTCCCTTTAGGTTCATTTTATTTGCTGCATATTTTGGTACTCCTGTGTTGCATGTACATATGCTTATAAATGTTGTTTCCTTGTTGAATCTTGTTTATTATTATGTGCTGCCCTTCTTTTAAAGTCTTCGTTTTAAAGTCTCTTGTCTGCTATGAGTACAGCGTGTAACTTTCTTTTCATTTCCATTTGCTTGGAACGTCTCTCCTTTCACTTTCACAATGTGTGTATCCCGAAGTAAGTGTCTCGTAGGCAGCATGTAGATGGATCTGGGTTTTTTATCTGTTTAGCCACCCTTTGTCTTTAGATTAGAAAGTATAGTCTGTTTTCACTTAAATATTGATAGTTATGTGCCTGTTGCCATTTTGTTAATTATTGTTTGCCTGTTTTCATCATTCCTCTCTCTTCTCCTTTTTCTCTCCTCGTAGTTTGATGGTTTCCTTTAGTGTTATGCTTCGATTCTTTTCTCATTTTCTTTTGCATATTTACTGTCAGTTTTTGTGTGGTCACTGTAAGGCTCACATATAACTTACTTTGTAATGGTCTGTTTTGAGTTGATGGCAACTTAAGTTTGAACACATTCCAAAACTACATTTTTCTCCCCCTTCACCTTTTATATTTTTGATGTCACCTTATACATCTCTTTATTTCAGACATCTCTTAACCAATTATTGTAATTTCAGTTAATTTTACTATTTCTGTCTTTTAACCTTCATATTTGCTTTATTTATAAGTGGTTGCTCTACTCACCTTTACTGTATATTTATGTTTCCCCCTGAGATTTTTCCTTTGATATGTTTTCTTGTTAATATTAGTGCCACTTCTTTTCAGTTTAGAGAAGTCCCTTTAACATGTCTTGTAGGGCCAGTTTAGTGGTGATGAATTCCATTAGCTTTTGCTTGCCTGGAACACTCTTAATCTTTTTTTTTTTTTCTTTTTTTTTTTTCTAATTCTGAATGATAATCTTTCTGGGTAGAGAACTCTTGGTGGATGGTTTTTCCCTTTCAGCTTCAGCATTTTGAATATGTCATGCCATTTTCCTTCTGGCCTGCAAAGGTTCTGGTAATAAATCTGCTAATGGCCATATGGGGTTTCCCTTTTGTGTAATAAGTTTTTTCTTTTGCTGCTCTTAGGATTCTCTCTTTAAACTGTCCCGTTTGAGCTATAATGTGTCTTGGTTTGGATCTCTTCAGGTTCATCTGATTTGCAACTCTGTGCTTCCTGAATCTGCAAATTCTATTTTCTTCCCCAGGTTAGAGAAGTTTTCAGCCACTACTTCTTCAAATAAGTTTTCCTACTCTTTCTTTTCTCACTTTGGGACTCCTATTTAGGAATTTTTGTTGACTTGCTTTTTTCGTTTAATTTCCAGTCTAAGTTTTGCTTATTTTCCATGGTTGCCCATAGTATTGCCCCAGTTCGTTCTTCCTTAATTTTTTCAGTAATCCATCTATCACTTTCCAGAGTTTGTTTTGTGGTGTGTTAGTTGGTGTTAAGAAAAAAGGTAGGAGGTTCTCTGATTAAATGACTTTGGGAAACATTGGGTTAAACCAGGTTAAACAGGTTTGTTCAGAAATTCTCAGTTTTTGCTGTACTAACATGATGGTAGCATTCAACTTTTGTCAAACTTATTTAGAGTATCTGGAAAGACTAGAGTCTTTGAAAAGTGTTTTTGGAAAATCTACCCTGATACAATTGCAGTGCCCAATCACGATGTTCTCCTCAATATCTTTAAAACATGCTGTGTTATTTATCACCTCTATAGTGTTTTTTACATTGTGGCTTTATTTAGAATCACCTTAGGGGCATGGTAAGTATAAAGATTCCTGGACTTCACCACAGACCTTTGGAATTAGAATCTCTGGAATTCAGGCATAGTTTTACAAACACCTAGGAAAATTCTTGTGCACTTTGAATATGAGAATTTTGAAAATTTTCTCAGGTCCCGGATGCCTCATACATACAGCTAACCTCTGCGTATCTTCTCTGAGGCTTGCTTGCATATACCTTCCAGCCCATCGATTTAACAAAAAATCGTTTACTCTCATGTGTTTTTCAACTGTTTTATATTTGTTAGTGGTATCTCCCTGGGGACACTGCAGACCTTTTTAAGGGCTTATAATTTTGCATTTTCTATGCTACTAGATATCCTTATATTTCTGTAAACATTTGTTTGTTGTTTAATAAGGTCAGGTAAATGCAAAACAAGTGATACTCTGAAATATTTGGTTTTCTCCCAGTACGCTTTTTGTAAATTGTGGTATGATTTACATATAATAAACTGCATGGATTTTACAGTCTGGTGAGTTTTGAGAAATTAAACATCCATGTAACAGCACGATATAGACTATTGTCACCATGCTGGAAAGTCCAGTCATTCCCTTTTCAGCAAATCGCCTCTATCCCTGCTCCCAGAGACAACTACTGTTTAGATCTTTATTGCCACAGAGTAGTTTTGCCTACATTAGAACTTCGTACAAGTGAAACCACACAGTGTGTGCTCTTTTGTGGCTGGCTTTTTTTGCAGAACATCATAGTTTTGGGATCTATCCAGCAATTTTTTCTTGTTCACTAAGTATTCCATCATAGGAACATACCACAATTTGTGGTATTCACAGTTAATAGTGATTTTCATTTGGATTGTTACCAGCTGCTGCTATGAATTAACATTCTTGAACAAGTCGTTTTGTGAATGTAAGTTTTTATATCTCTTTGGTAAATACTTAGTGGAGTTGCTGGGTTCTAGAGTAGTTGAGTGTTTAATGCATTTTTTTAAGCCAGGAGAAAAGTAAAAACATACAAATTTTAAAGGGAATATTGTTTGTTCATTAAAGGGGATATTGCTTGAGCTCCTACCAGATAAGCACTTTTTTTTTTTTAATTTTTTTTTTTTTCAACATTTATTTATTTTTGGGACAGAGAGAGACAGAGCATGAACGGGGGAGGGGCAGAGAGAGAGGGAGACACAGAATCGGAAACAGGCTCCAGGCTCTGAGCCATCAGCCCAGAGCCCGACGCGGGGCTCGAACTCACGGACCGCGAGATCGTGACCTGGCTGAAGTCGGACGCTTAACCGACTGCGCCACCCAGGCGCCCCCAGATAAGCACTTTTATGTACATTGAATATATCTCCTATTTTTTTACCTTATAGCAATGATTCAGGAGTAATCTGATTTTTGTGAGTTTGAGAGGTAATGCAACTGAAAAACTAAACATCCACGTTTAGACTTTAAGAAATGCTCTGCTGTTCATTTAATATAGTTTATTCGACAATAACAATCATTTGGGTCCTACTCATTTGCTTCTAGCCAGGTTCTTCCCTCGCTTAACCTACCATGGTTTTGTTTAAGATGTATTCCTGATAGAAGCACCCAGAAATTCTGATGGGACAGCTGCCTCCCAGGTTAACTCACAGCTGTTAAGGGACAGCTGCCATATGGTGCTCCCAACCGAGAGAGCTGGGCAATGGTGGCTACCCGTGTAGGTTACTCAGTGAGAAGCTAAATTCAGGGTAAATAAGTGGAATTTTAAGAGTTTTGTAATTAGAATTACAAGTTCTTTAATTCACTTAAACACTCTTAAGTCCAGTCTTAAAGTATACTTTGGGGTGAACTGTGAACTTGATAGGCTGGGGCTCACTAATGTTGAGAGGTAAATATTTTCTACTTCTGTTGAGATCTCTTCTTTTTACAGGGCACCTGGGTGGTTCAGTCGGTTAAGTGTCTGACTCTTGGTTTCAGCTCAGGTCACGATCTCATGGTTCATGAGTTCAAGCTTGTGCTGGGCTCTACTCTGACAGCGCGGAGGCTGCTTGGGATTCTCTCTCTCCCTCTGTCTGCCCTTCCCATAGTCATTCTCTCTCTCTCTCATTCAAAAATCTCTTTATAATCCTCCATTAAAAAGTCAGTTTTAATATTGGGTAACTTCTAGGCTGGTAGTCTAGCCACTCCAATGCTTTTCTTTTGAATTATTTCTTTGACGTGATCTGACCCCATTCAGGCACGCCGTGGTTTTACAAGACTTTTGAATAGTTTGGCATTTCTGTTTATTGCTTAATCTCTTCCTCCTCTGCTCATTAAAAACAATGTCTGCTGTGAATTTTCTAAAATTTCTTAGATAGCTTTATATTAAATTATCCCTAATCATACATTTTCCATTACCTTTACATTTCTCTTACAGATTTTATGTGATTTATTGTCACCTGAAAACTTAAAAGAAGGCCTGAAGGACTCTTCCTGGAGTTCATTGCCATGTATTAAAAACAAACCTTTTGGTTTTCCTGTAGTAATGGAAGAGTCTCACTCTGCCACAGAGCTTAGCCCAGAGCAGGTAAGGGGTGAGAAAAGATTTTCATGGGTTGAGTGCATCTGTTTTTTTACAGGTTAAGATTTTCACTTTCTGGGTTTCAAGAAATAGAATCTATTAAGCATGGTCTGAATTAGATTTTTTTGTCTGTAGCCTTTTATTTTACACTGAACTTTTATGTAAAATATGTGTTCATTAATCACAATTTTAGGTCACCTGAATATCAGAAAACTTTAGTCTCATGAGAAATGTAGAACGTGGTATTTATTTTAGTTTCTTCAGGGTTGTAACAACTATATTAGCATAACTGCATCGACCTCATTATAACATGTCAGCTTGATGTCTAAGGCTATATTATAATTACTAGTAAAATGATTTATTTATCAGGGTTTTAGAATTAAAAGTTGGTGCTTTTAAATGAATGGTAAAAAGAACATTCTGAGACAGTGGAATTTCATTTCAGTTTGGTTCGTGGTGAGAGCCGCAATACAGTTACCCTTGTTTATTGTACTTTTGTAGAACGAAGAAATACCAGAGGTCACTTCAGAGCTTATCAAAGGAAGCTTAAACCGTGCATGGTCAGCACAGGCTATAAATTCAACAGAAATGCCTACCAGAGAGGACTGTTTAAAAAGAGTGTCCTCGGAACCTCTACTCTCTGTTCAAGAAAAAGGTGCTCTGCTGAAAAGAAAGTTGTCTCTTTTAGACCAGGATGTGATTGTAGACGAAGACGGAAGAAATAAGCTTAAAAAACAAGGAGGTAAAAATGTCACTACACTCATTTAGAACACATTTATTTATTTAGAATGGTCTTTAAACTTTTTCCTAAAGATGATAACCCTCTTTGTTTTAATAGAAACTCGCAATGAAGTCTGTACGTTTTCATTAACTTACGGTGACATCCCAGAAGAATTAATAGATGTTGCAGATTTTGAGTGTTCTCTCTGCATGAGGTAAGTGTATAAAATTTTATAAAGATGCATATTTTATATTACCAAATAAAATACAGAGTACATAAAGGTAATCTACTCTAAAGTGACAGAATACTGGACTAAAAATCAAAAGATATGAATTTTAGTTCTCGGCTTACCTTTCACAACTTGGGCAGGTAATCTCTGAACATTATTTGGATTTTTGTTACATACAAAGTGGGGTATTTCCATAGCCTATATTGCAGGTGTCGTAAGAATCTAATGACTTACATATTGTAAAGGACTGTAAAAGTTATACATATTATTGAAACTTAGACACATACATGGTTTTAGATTTGGGTAAAAATGCTAACAACGTGTTGTATATATATGATTCTGTCTTGTTTTAAGTCCTTTTTAAGTAAAGTTGGATAAAGGTTTCCATTGTGTGGGAATGCAAGCTGGCGTAGCCACTCTGGAAAACAGTATGGAGGTTCCTCAAAAAACTAAAAATAGAACCACCCTACCACCCAGCAATTGCACTACTAGGCATTTATCCAGGGGATACAGGTGTGCTGTTTCAAAGGGACACACGCACCCCCATGTTTATAGCAGCACTATCGACAATAGCCAAAGTATGGAAAGAGCCCAAATGTCCATCGATGGATGAATGGACAAAGAAGATGTGGTGTGTGTGTGTGTGTATATGGAGTATATATATATACACACACACACACACACACACACACACACACACACACACACAATGGAGTATTACTCGGCAATCAAAAAGAATGAAATCTTGCCATTTACAACTACTTGGATGGAGCTGGAGGGTATTATGCTGAGTGAAATTAGAAAGACAAAAATCATCTGACTTCACTCACATGAGGACTTTAAGAGACCAAAGAGATGAACATAAGGGAAGGGAAACAAAAAGAATATAAAAACAGGGAAGGGAACAAAACAGAAGAGACTCCTAAATATGGAGAACAAACTGAGGGTTACTGAAGGAGTTGTGGGAGGGGGGATGGGCTAAATGGATAAGGGGCACTAAGGAATCTACTCCTGAAATCATTGCTGCACTAGATGCTAATTTGGATGTAAATTTAAAACAAATTAAAAAAATAATAAAAATAAATGAAAAAAGATTTCCATTGTGTAGAATGCTTGTAATTCTAGAAGACTACTAGTTTTGAAAGACATGTTCCATTTACTTGAGTTGTGGTGGAGTCAGAGGAACAGTGCACGGAGACCTGGAGACCTGGTGGCTGGCCACATCAGGCTGGTAAGAACGAGCTGTGTTCTGAGCAGGTCCCTTATCTCTGAGCCTAGACTGCTTCATCCACCTGTGAGGTGAGGGCATTAGGCCAGATGATTTCTCAAGTACCTTTTTATCTAGGAAATTCCGAAGTATCATGTTTCAGGAAATAATCATCATGTAAGTAAAATTAGTATTTCTATATTGTTCATTACTTACTGGTATTAAGCCTAATATTTCTTTACAAATTAACTGTAAAGTTTATTGGGTTATTCTTTTTCATGGATTTTATATAGTAAGGCTTTTTTATAGGCTTATTAAGAAATAATCTAGTCAACAACTAATAATGATATATTTCATATTGTTTATTTTACACACCAAGTTTCAGAGACTATGTGCATTTTACATTTATTGCACTTCTCAGTTTGGACCAGCCAGATTTCAAATGTTTAGTAGCTCCCATGTGGGCTGTTCCATTGGTCAGTATAGCTTTCACCCCTTGGCAGAGTAGTACCCCTGTTGACGGAGAACTTTTAAAAGGTTCAGGAGGGGATAATTGTATGTATCACTGCCCTTTCCTTCCTCTCCTGCCCACTAGACCCTCCTTCTTCCTCAAATAGAGATTAGTCTTATGGTTCCATTATTTCTTCACTTTTTCCCATGGATAGTTTAATGTGAAAACATGTATTTTGGTTGATTTCAGGTTGTTTTTTGAGCCAGTAACAACCCCTTGTGGACACTCCTTCTGTAAGAATTGCCTTGAGCGCTGTTTAGATCATACACCGTATTGTCCTCTCTGCAAAGAAAGCTTAAAAGAGGTAAACATTTGCATATTTATCTGTTTATTGATCTTAAGCTTGGCAATACTGATTTGTATTTAGCCCACAGAAATAGAGTGATTATCATGTTCAGAATAAATTACATTATATATGCTGACTGACCAAGAAGGAAAACATTACATTACCCAAAATGCTAGTGCTGGAGAAATGTGAATTTGGAGAGCATAGGGGAAAGGAGGGCCATTCTGGAGGCCAAGCCCCATGTATTTTTTTTTTTAAACAAAGGGGGGTATGGTCAAGTACCTGGCCGAGACTTGGTTCAGTTTTAATGATGACAGACAGTATTGGGAAAACCCAACTGCCTTTCCTTCCACCCTCACTAATACCCTGGATTTCAGCCCTAGTCCTGCCTTCTTAACATCTGAAACAACTAATAGAATTTTTTGCATTGATGGAAATTCTCCATAACTATGCTGTCCAACATGGTAGTCACATGTGGCAAGTGTAGCTGAAGACCTGTATTTTAAATTTTCATTTAAGTGGACACATGTGACTGGTGGCTACCATTTGGGCAGCACAGCTCTAGAAAGTGGTGTACTTACTGGAGGCACAGCTTCCCACACCCCTTGTACAGTCATGATCAATGCTATCCATAACCTGTGTTAGGGAAATAGCTGGATCTCAGGTACATATCTTTTGTAACCAATGGGAAGACAGCATTTTCCCAATCCTGCTTGGGTGTCCTTAGCCATAAGGTGAGGCCCCAGTGTTATAATTCTAGGTCCCAATTACGACCGTAGCATTGATCACGAGAATGATCCTATCTCTGGGGGGTGACAGCATTGCTTAAAAAAAAGTCTTCCAAATATGAATAAAAAATTAAGCCATTTTGCATTTGAATGTACATAGTTAATTCCTATGCAGAAAAAAACAACTCTGTACAGATATTATAATAGCATATGTGTATTAAATACATGGATAGGTGTCTTACATAACAAGCCAATATGTCAAACATAAAACCATATATAGAATTTTCACAAAGTCCAAAAACGTAAGACAAACTCGTTCTTAAAAAGTTTATTAATTACATTTCCGCCTATATACTTCATATTTTCAGGTGAAGTACTCTAATCATGTTTTTTTGTGTGTTTCCAGAGTTTTTAAATATTCTGTAGTATATTGTGTTTTTTTTTCAAATTAATAATTAGATACGTGGCTTTAAATTTAGAGCTACCTCACCTTAAGAAAGGTCTGGAGTTTGAAGGAAAACAAGCATTATTTAAAAATACAGCCAGCATACTGTTTGAAAATAACTTTATCCTGTGTCCTAAAGGTATCCTGTATTAATAGGTAAAATCTAAGTATATATTTAAAAAAACAAATTGATACGCTCTATCATTTTATGCTTTTCTTGTCATTTTCTTTTGTTCTTTCATCGGAATGTATTTAAGATTTTTTTATAGCAGAATAATCCATTGATTTAACATTTCCCTATTGTTGGGTATGTAAGTTGTTTTGTTCTTTTTTTTGTATACCATGATTTGCGTCTTGACTATTTCCTTAGGATAAATTTCTGGAAGGTGAATGGCTGATCCAAAACCATGTATTTATAAGACTCTTAAAACCAAATGCTGGGTTACCTACATCCCCCAGAAATATTGTACAATTTAGATTCCTATTGCCCCCAAATTAATACACGAGTATTATATCTACTATTTAGCCCATTGGTTTTCAAAATGTGTTCCCCTGACGAGCAGCATCTGTATTACCTGAGAACTTGTTACAAATTCTCAGACCCCCACTTAAGAGCCACGACATCACGAACTCTGGGGTGGGGCTCAGCCATCTACTTTTCAACAAGCCTGATTTCATGCTAAAGTTTGAAAACCACTCCTGTTACCCTTTCCCAGCCTCTCCCCCTTCCTCCTCCTCCATTCTTCTTGGATAATGACAAACCCTTATTTTTGCTGCAACTGCAGATTAAAAGTATGTGGCTTCTCTTTATCTTCTGATTGTCTCCCAAGAGTCATTCCTAACTTTATTATATGGGTTATTGTTCCAAAATTCTGTACCCACGTCCTGACCTGGTCCCAGCCTTATGCAGTTTTTTAACTTACCTACAGAAACATGTCTTTTTGTCCATGGAATACAGTGCGGTGTGTGGTAACTGCCTTTTATGGGATAAAGGCAGTAAAATTGGGCTTCTCGGGAGACAGAAAAATTAAGGCAGACTTCATGAAAAAGGTAAAGTTGGAGCCAGACCTTGCAGGCTAGGCAGGCTTACAGGCTGGAAGGAGAGGGATGGCTTTTAGCAGTTGGAATAATGACGCGGAAATGCGAGTGGCGGTCTTCCGGAGTGTTAAGGGAGTGGTACAAATGTACCATTTTATATAGAGTTGGGGGGTGGATCGTGTAGGAAAAGCAACCTCTTGATAAGGGTCTGAGTGACAGTGGGTGACATGGGAAGGAAAATCGTCAAGAAAAATGATCTGGAGACTCGGCCACCAAAACTGGGACAAAAAGAATAGTTTCACTTTTCCTAAATAAAGGCAAGTTTATTATTTTCTTTATTCCTTAGCTTATTTTTTTTTGGTTCTCAGTTAAAATGCTAGTCTGAAGTACCCACGAGCTGTCAGATAGAAATTGGCCTTTGGTGTGGGAGAGGGCAGGGCCTCCTGCTGCCCAGAAAAGATTTGAGGTCGTAGCAGGACAAGGGTCTTCTGGACGGTGGTAGTCTCCACCGCAGCCACGTGTCTTCAGTGCTTTGGGGCAAAGCCTGCGCAGATTGACCTGTGTGGCATCACTTGTCACGTTCTTCCTCACAAATTAATTCAGAATCGACTGTATAAATATGTAATAAAGGCTTTACTATGAACTGTTTTGCCTGTTTTCTGCTGTAGGAAAAGTACTGGAGTGTGAAATAACACTGTCTTTTAGTATCTAGCAGATAGGAGGTACTGTGTGACACAGCTGTTGGAAGAATTGATAGTGAAGTATCTGCCTGATGAGCTGTCTGAGAGAAAACAAATATATGATGAAGAAACTGCTGAGCTGTCACAGTAAGTTTCTTCTCATAAAGCTAATGTGATCAAGCCCCGAGCCACCACCCTTTAACACAGTAAGGAGAGACCTTCTCGCAGCCAGCTGGATCCTGTCTCGAGTTCAACCTAGTGTAGCCCCAGGCTATTTTCAACAAACACGGGTCAGGTTCCCCTCTCCTCAACAGACAGAAGTTTGTAAAAGTTCATTTGGTAACTTCCAGATGTTCCACTGGGGGTTGTTGACTCAAGCCCTTTGCACCGCAGTGGCAGTTTCGGTGGAGGAGGAATTTCCTACGGGACCTCAGGCAGTGGAGTTGGGAACTGAACCCTCAGGTACCAGGCAGGGTTAGCAGGAAGGTGGAGCATAAACGGCCTGGACTGGCAGCTGCTTTAGCCAATGAGAGGTCGGGAAGTGGGTGGGACCTTGAGGCTGAAATTGGTAGGAGTGGCTTAGGGGCCAAAGTCTCAATTAGTCAAGATTACCGGTAGCAGATTTAGTGTCGGGAGGTAATTTAGGGATAGAGTGGTACAGACCACTACTGAGAGCGAGCACGCACTGGCTAGTTGGGGCCGGGTAGGTTGGACCTGGTTTTGGTGCTTTGTATTCTTTCTTCCTTGTCCTTTTCTGACGTTCTTTTCCCTTCCTGTCTTTCCCTCTTGCTCGAGTCACAGGAGTCTCTTTAAATTTCTTTCTTGCGTAATTTCTTAACTTTCTCTCTCTTTCACTGGACACACCAAAGAAACAGAACTGCACATTTTACATGCCGTGTTTATGTAATAGATTCTGGAAAATAATGGAAACACAAAGTTATTTTTTTCTTACTTTCTAAGAAAAAGTTGTGCTTGCAAACTTAGTATGTGTCCACCAAATGTCTTCACTGGGCCAGTGCCCTTTGATAGAAGAACGGTGTCCATTCTTCTAAGTTGGTACTGATTCGTCTTCCATGATACTGATGTTTCATTGTGATTTTGATAGAAAATGTCCTGATATGAGGATTATGAACTTTCTTGATCAACACTGCCAAAAGCTGGTTACAGGAAAGCCGCAGATATGCTTTTGAAATCTTAAGTATAGTGACTGCAACCAGACTCCCGACAGATGAAGTCATCACATGACGGGGGCTCAGTGTGATGCAGAGAAGCTTGAGGGAGTCTTGGTTACTTACTACCAGGGCTGTTTTATGGGGTGCTCATCTTAAGTGCTCATCCCTTGGTACTTCAGAGTTTTGCTGATCAATATTTGCCAGCAGAAGAACTGAAAAAGACCAAATGGAATGCTTAGTCATGGTAGATTACACATTTTTTAAAAGAGGAGCTAATACTTGTATTACTTTCACATAATTATGTCATTTTGAAGAAAAGCTAGAAGATCCTGTAAATAAGCAGGGGTGGCAAAGGTCATCTATAACCCAAAAGGAGTCACCGTTGGCATTTCGGCATGTATCCTTCCAGATTTTAAGATGTGTAAATACATTTTCAACAAAAGTGGGATCTTTTTTTCCATATCAACGTGTGTATGTGCACACACACACATACGTATATCTTCATTTTATGGTTATGTCAGTTTATTCTAAGTTTTGGTTACTGTACACAATGTTACAGTGAGCTTTCCTTTCAAGTACTTGTACAAGTTTTTCTAGGAGTTTAAAGGATATGAACTTTTTAAAGGGTCGGCCAGATTCTTCTTCAGTTTGGTTGTACTGTTTGAAACTGCCCTCAGCCCTGCCAGTTTTGCCCATGCCAGAACTGGGCAGTACTGCTGTCCTCCTTCTTTCCTGCCAATCTGGCAGTGAAAAATATTCTATAATTTTAATTACCTAGAAAAAATGTTACTGAGTTATGTTTTGGATCGTGAATTTGAAAATATTTTAATGCACTAGGAATTTTAATGATTTGCCTTTTGTGGACTGTGGGAGCCCATTTTTTTCTTATTATCTATAAGGAAGAGTATTTGATGGATAAAAGACTGTTCTAAATATTTTAAACAGATTAATACAAAATACAAACAAAAGTTTGTATTAATACTAACTGTACTCCTGCTTCATAAAGATACTTAGCTCTGTATGACAAGCTGGTATCTTAAATTCAGATTTAGTTTTATAAATAGATGCTGATGAGTGTTGCAAGCTTCAGTCATTTTTGTGGTACGTTCTGATGGATGATAATGAGACTTTTTTCCTCTTCAGCTTGACCAAGAATGTTCCAATATTTGTTTGCACTATGGCCTACCCTACTGTGCCTTGCCCTCTTCATGTATTTGAGCCAAGATACAGACTGATGATTCGAAGAAGTATACAAACTGGAACTAAACAGTTTGGGATGTGTGTTAGTGATACCCAGAATAGGTATGTTTTTGTACAGAAACATTTTTGTTTACATTGGAACTTGCTTTGAATATTGAGAATTTGCATGCTTGTTACTTGAACTTTGATATTAATCAGAAGTTTTCTTTTAGTTTTGCAGATTATGGGTGTATGCTACAAATTCGGAATGTACATTTCTTACCTGACGGGAGGTCTGTGGTTGACACAGTTGGAGGAAAGCGGTTTAGGGTCTTAAAGAGAGGAATGAAAGATGGATATTGCACTGCAGACATTGAATATCTGGAAGATGTTAAGGTATTAAATGCTTCTTGAGCACACCTCGGGGTACTCTGTCCTTGGCATTGCACAGGCTGATAGTCTAGGCGCATACAACAGTTCTTTGTCCCAGAGACTCTGGTCGATACTTACACAAGTTAGCTCCCAGTTAGCTTTTGCTTATCTTGCTCTCACTCACGGTGTGTCAACTTGGAAGAGTCCAGAGCACAGATCCTCTTCATTTCTGCAGGCTCCCCAACCAACGTGGTGCCTAGAGTGTACGTGGGCATGGTGGGCACTTAACACCAGCGATGGATTGAATTGAACTTAGAACCCATCTAGGTTATGAAAGCTGCTAATCCCTGCCCTTTTTAATCGAATCTATTAGTAGGCAAACACATGAAAGCCTTTAAAAACTGTTCTGTATGTATCTGACATAGCCTTAATGACAACATGGACACAGTGAGAGGAGAGGTGTTCACAGAGAAAGTACTGTCACTAGCCTCACTGGTGAGATCTTTCCTGGAGTGCGTTATTGTGATAACCTTCTTGCAAAGGGTTAATGTGGGCCTTTTGATGATTCCAGTAATTCACCATCTGCAGTTAGTTTAGGTACCAAAAAAATGATTTGTGATGCTATGAGTATCAGATGAAAGGCAGTTTCTTTTGGAAGGGCATTATAAAACCATTGATCATATGCTCTCCCTGTTCATTGATTTGGGCCCTTCATTTTAATCGTTTATTGAACGCTGGCATTATTTTCAGAACTCTGAGCTCCTTAGATGAGGAAAGTCAGATCCAAAAGTGGTAATAAATATACCTTAGATCCTCTAGGTAGAGTCCTAGAAATGATTTAAAGCTAGCTCTCTGGCCCCAAGTGCTGTGCTTCATCATTATGCCATATTGCCTCTCTGATCAACTTGATTGGGCTGATATTTCCTGTCCTGTCTTATGATTAAGATGCTATGGGGAGACTTTTTTGTGCCGTAGGCCAAAAGTGTTGTGGAAGTTGAAATTTTGAGCTGATTGATAGTTTCTGTGCCTTAGGCATGCTTAGTTAATGGAATCATTTGCTAAAGGCAATATTCTTTGTAAGTTTACATCTTCACATTTGGATTTGATGACACAATCCCTTGAGTATATGGCCAACCATATGCCTAGATAGAAATATAGGACAATAGAATAGCATCTTGAAAGCATTATGAGTTTGGTGTTTAGAAACTGTTTGCTGTCTTTGCAGTCTTAGGAATGTCTAATAATTTTTCCTCATCTTAATGTCTCATCTTTGTAATGATTTCTTGTCCCTTCCTTCTGGAAAAGCTTCTCAAATTTTCTTTATAAGCAGTCTTTTTTTCCCTTAAAGTTCTGCCTGCTTTTTAGCCAGCTCCTTTTTCCACGTCAGACACTTGTCATTTGTGTTGTTCCTTGTTTTCTACAGCCCATGGTTTGTTTCCTTGAATTCTGTAAGGGTGCAACGTAGAGGTTTTAATAGTTTTAACAAGTCACAAGTTTATTTCCAGCTCATGTCAAGACCAACGTGTGTTAGCAGGGGACTGAATCTTGTATAGTCATTGCAAGAGCAGAAGTCTTCAACTGGCTCCTCTACCTTTTCATTAACCCAATTTACCAGTTTAATCATAGCTAAGTATTTAGCTCAGTGGTATTAAGTACATTCACAGTATTGTGCAAAAGGCAGGTGCTTTTTAGTTTTTTCATTTCACATCTTTCAGAAATAAAAAGTATGTGTTCAGAGTCCCTTTTATAGTGAGTCATTCTTGAAGTATGAAAGGCTGAGTCAGGCCTGGTATTTGTTCAGATGAGTTAATGTATGTGAACTAGAGCCCTCCCCGGCACATAGCGAGTGGGCTAGAAGAGCGTGCTACAGAAATCAATAGAAGATGGAGGAGTTAATGCTCTATTTCATCTCCTGTGTCCTGTGAGACTACTTCTTCTGGATCTGAGGCTGCAAAGCTGATGCATTTAATTTTATGTTTGTAGTTTGGTGATCTGAAGGGTGCAAGGAGGAACGATGGAGGTAGCCACAGCCTTGCCTTTATAGAACTTCCTCCTTGCAGAATTTCTTCTCTTGTCTTTTGACTCAGTTCCCTGGTAAAAGGTGTACTTATGCTTATTGTCCCTCCTGTTACCTGCTTTCTGCCATGTTCTCTCTGCCTGAAACCTCGCCCAGTCTTCCCTCTTATTGTAGTGAAGATATTCCTTTCTTGTCCCACTGCTTTCAAAAACCATCAATGCAGAGAGACAAAAAGGAATTCCCAACTCACTGTCAGTTGTACCCCTCCCAGCTGGAGGCCGGCAGTAGGGTTCCGCAGTATTGCATTGCTTCGGTGACGAGGCCAGGTGGCGGTCACACCTTGTGGTGTCTCTTTAGTCTGGCCATTGGCGCTTTGTGAGGCAGAAGCACAGGATATGTATTGCGTAATACTCTGATCCAGCACTGAAATTGGGATTGCCTCTTTTTACATTTTTATTTTTGCATTTCTGTTGGGTTAGTGATCTGGACCAGGGGGACTAGATGCAAGTCTTACTGTTTTGTTTCTAGGTTGAGAATGACGAGGAGATCAAGAATCTCAGACAGCTTCATGACTTGGTATACTCACAAGCCTGCAGCTGGTTTCAGAATTTGAGAGACAGATTTCGAAGCCAAATTCTTCAGCACTTTGGCTCAATGCCCGGGAGGGAGGAAAACCTTCAGGTATGATGGCTTTGATGTTGTTTCCAAAAGTCTCACTTTTTTTTTAGCAATGGGTTTTTAAGTTTTTTTGTTTTCCTTTTTGCACAGCCTTTCCGTTGTCCCCACTGTCTTTACAGTGATGACCGTATTTCCAGAGCAGTGCTGTCTGCTGCTATCTGTAGGGGAAGGGGATGGACAGAGCTGGGAGCTGAGGGGTCCATAGCTGTGACTGCACAGAAGGAGAAAGCCCTTCACTGAGGATTTGCTCAAAGGCGGGATAAGGAAATTAACAATGGGACATTACAGTAAATTATTGGGAGATCTTTTTTTCACCTCTCCTTTTCTCTCCAGCTTTTTCCCTTGTGTCTCTTCATGTTTAATGCTTCACTCCTCATGAAATTATTGTTCTGATGGTCTTGTTCAAGTGCTTAGGGGTGACGCTTAACTTTCTGTGCAAGCAGATCGGTGTGGTAGGCACTATAAGACGCACAGAAAGACGACTCTGGAAAATCTGATAGACTGATCAAAGCGCTAACTTTTAGACAAGCATTTTGAATTGAATAGAATGGTTATGATCAGAAGGTAGATTACATAATGGAATGGCTATAAATATACGGAGATGGAAAGAAAACAGCCCACTGTGATGGACACTGCCTCTCATTCTGGTTTTCAAAGGTTGGCCTCAGTCTGTCTGAATCCCAATTAAGTCCTTCACCTGAACTTGAAATTATAACATCAGATCATCTCTAAACTGAGCACTCATTCGGTGTCGTACATATTATCAGTTGCTCATGTTTGTTTTATTCTGGCTTCCTAAATCTGATTAAACTTGATAGAAATAGCCTTTGCTAAGCATAAAATTGAGTAAGTACATCTTAAATGTAAAAACTTTCACCACTCTTGCCTTTTATGATTCAGCCCTCTACCACTGCTTTGTTGGTAGTATTGTGAGTCAGGACTTGGTCAGTGAAACAAAAGCAGCCACTCTTGCATAATCCAGGCACAGAGGGTGTGCTGTGGGATGGAGGGCTGATGCAGCTGTCTGCAGAGCTGGAGGAGTGAAGATGAGGGTCATCACGGAAGGAGGATGGGGTACCTGACACAGGGGAGCACTGTGCTTTTCAAGAACTTGCAGGGAAAATTTCGTATTTCTTAGGAGTACGAGGGAGGTACCCACCAGTATCTCTCAGTCTGGAGCAGTGTAGCAGGTGGTTAAGAATTCTCTGGAAGGCTCCTGCAAATCTGCCGACACTTGGCAACAGTCTGCAGTGAACAATGGCTTCTTCGCTTCCACATTTCACGGGATTATGCCTCTCCTAGGCCAAGTCTAACCCAGAACCATGTGAGGGAGAGGATTCTGGGAAATGTTTCTGACCTCTCTGAAATGCAAGAAGGATGGCATAGTGATGCTGAGTGGACAACAGATAGTACACAACTACAGAAATCTAGTGTGATTCTAGAGGGAGCTTACTGAGATCAGGAGCTCCTTTTGTCATTCTGAAACTTCAGGTTTCAGGTTCAATAAAAAGCAATTCGGTGTGCAACAGAGATGGCTTAAAAATTCTTTTGTATAAATTCCAAGTTCTTTCAATGGCCACTAGTCAGCCTTTGCAACATCAGAAGGACTTCTTTGCTGGAAATGTTTATTTTTCAAACAAAACTAGAGGCTGAGACCTTTTCTTAGGTCTTGCCTAGGATCTTACGTCTTGCCATGGTTCCTTGGAGACATTTTTAAATATTAATTAATGCTTTAAATATGTGTTTTCAGAAAGTAGTTCTGAATTAGGGCAGTTTTGCCCCCTTGGCATATTTGGCAGTGTCTTGTTCTTTGACAGTCGGGAGATGCATCATTTCCTATACTTTTAGCAAGTCTTTTCTAACTTTTTTCCCTTGCCGCTTCAATTTATTTGTGGCTCTATCAATGTTTCACTCCTCATGAAATTGAAGATATTTTGCACTGTCACAACTGGGAGGTGCATCTTATTGGATAGAGGGTCAGAGATACTGCTCAACATGCTTCAGGAGCACAGGACAGTTCCCGCATCGAAGAATTATCCAGCCCCAAACGTGAGCAGCCTGAAGTTGAGAAACCCTGCATTCAGGCAGTGCAGGGGACAGAGTGTTAGTCATGGAAGTCAGGTCTGCATTTCAGTCTTGGACACTTCACATTTCTGGTCTTTAGTTTCCCCATTTCATAGGGACATAATAGCCTTCCTTCCATGATCGCTAAGAGTTTGAGATAGGATCGGATATATGAGCACTGTTTTTGTTACATAGATGTATATTGTATTAATACTGTAAACTGTTGTTTATTTTTAGGCGACGCCTAATGGGCCCGCGTGGTGTTGGTGGCTTCTTGCAGTTCTTCCCGTAGATCCCCGATACCAGCTATCGGTTTTGTCAATGAAGTCTTTGAAAGAACGGTTGACAAAGATACAGCATATACTGACCTATTTTTCTAGAGACCAATCTAAGTAACTAACTGCTTGGATCTTCCTTTAAAGTTACCCTAATCTGGCTGTGTTGACAGCCAGATTGTCTGCTGCCTTTTGCACATCCAGTGCTGGTTTGAGAAATGTAACGAAACTTTTTTTTCCTTCAACCTCCTGAATCATGTGGTTCTGCAAATGATTACCTTCAACTAGGACTTAGACCACTAAGAACTTGCACAGAAAAACACGCACTGAATGTGTGTTAAACCTCTACATTGTGATGAAGTTGCACTATGTACCATATTCTAAAAACGAAATGAGAACTGTGTGTATGTGGGGTGTGTGTGTGTGCGCGCGCGTGCATTTTCTCTGGCTTTAAAATTTTAAAAGAAAAAAAAAAGCCATAGAGAGCAGAACTTGCTGAGGGTTTTTATTGCCCAAGTTTACAACAATAGCGATACAAGTTTTTGCAAGTTGAATTTGCCTCAGATTTATCTGTCCTAATGCTTATATTTGCACAAGTATGTAAACTATGGTATTGAGTATCACTCTTTGTTGGAAATACTGCTCTTGCTGAACTGTCTTGACCATTGACTATGACACAGTTTCTTATTTATGTAAATACTTGCATCCTAGCGGCCAACAGGCTTTGGATGCAGAACCTAGAGCCAGTTTTCAGGAACAATTGCAAACCTGCCATGGTACTGTGCATCTATTCATAAAACACTTAAAACTGTGAAAATATGGTTTACATTTAATTGTACATAAAGGTAAATGGAGAACTCAATTCAGTACCAGTTAGTTTGTGCATTTTAGGGGGCTTTTCACATCAACTGCCCATCAATATAATTTATAGTTTGACATGATGTGTTTAAAAAAAAAAAATATTATGTAGTATAAACCCATTAAGGATCTGGGGGAAGAGAAGAAGCTTAATGTAGAAGTAAGCTTTTAAAGTATGTTTTATTTTTTAATTCTAGTCTTGGTGCAGATGTTAGTTATGCCTTATTCATATCACAATTAGATCACCATGCTGTGACATGGTTTATATTCATGCTGCCCTAGATACTTTTGTAATTATTTGTTGCAAACTTGTGACTGTCCCGATTAACTTTCTTTTATGTAAGTACTTTGTAAAAGTTTCTTAAACTTTTGCTTTTGCTTATTTAATTTTGAATAAAAGCTAAATTCATAATTTTTTTCTTAAATTTTAGGTCAGTATGAAAGATGAGTTTTGCTTACTGTTTACTTTTTTTTCTTGGCAGTATCTTAAGGAGACTTCAGGCCTAGAACAATCCTTTAAAGTACTATTGGTTCAACATTTAGAAAAAAGCCATGTCCCTTTAGGATAAAGATGACATTTTTCATGTTACCCTTATTTGACACCATTAAACAGAACTGACCATTTCAGGCCCCCATTTCCCAGCTAGGATTTTCCAGATATAAAGAAATCATTTTTTTAATAATATATTTTTATAAAAAGATTCACTAAGAAATGACTATCTGGAAGACCACCCTTTGCCCCCACAATTACACTATTGAAAAATCTCCAGAAAACGTGGTCTCAAGAGTGGGCCATTCCCCCCAAAGTTACCTTACCCATAGTCCTGCTGAAGTGTTCAACATTCTTATAACCAACTATTAAATGCCTGTTGAGTAGTGTTTGGGTAGTAGCATACATGCAAAGTGTACCTATAGTTCTCAAAGCATGTATGAGAAGGAAGTAGGATTTACCTGGTACCCAATCTACATCTGTGGTATGTGCGTGCACCCACAAATGGGCATTAAATGATCTCTGTCTGTAGAGAGGATACATAGGCTACTAATGGGAATTCATGACTTTTATCATTTGACCCTAATTTTGTGATGAATGTTGTGTTCTGTGTATAGATTTTCACATCTCCAAATAATTTTTTCCAACTGCACCTTACATACCATGTAACTAGAAAGATACGTATCTGACAGAGTCTTACCCTTATCGCTTTAAGTGACTAAGTCCTCAGCATTTCAAGCCAGAGTCAAAGTAGCTAGTTGTTGCTTTTCTCATCTTAATACACCTGTCTCTACATGTCCAGATCTTCCTGTTAGAGGTCCAGTTCTGATGCCTTCACTCAGCTAGAACTCCGAACTCCACAGCTTCCTTGTACTTCGCACTTACAGGAGATAAGTGGCACTTACTTTGTACTTTGGCACTTACAGGAGATAAATGAATCATGCATGAGCCAACCCTCTTGTGAATATTATGACTGGTGTCTAGCACTTTCGACAGATTTAATAGGCTGACCACTGAACAGAACCGAAATAAATGCCAATTAAGAAGGGAGACTGGATAAAGATGGTTAGACTGAGATATAACCTTTGCCTTCTCTTCCTTCCCCAAATCCAACAAAAATGACAGTGAAGTGAATGAAGTCTAATGACATTGTGAAGACAAAAACCCACCCATTGACAAATGCTTATGAGGAATTTTCTGAGATCTGTGTCAAATCCTGTTCCCCTAAGACTGAGGAGACCACAGCTTTGCAGAAGTGGAGGAATATACCCCACGCTAGGGGAAGGTCTTGGAAAACCCCAGAGGATTTCTTGGGGAGACTATACCTGACCTAGCTTGATCATCTGGCTTCTTCCCTACTTGGGCCAAGCAGTAGGCAGAAACAGCAATTGTTCTCAGACCAAATCACAGAATGTGGACATTGGGCCAGAGAAGACCCTGAACCATTAGCTACAGATGCCCAATAGGATGGAGAACCCTCAAAGGACCACAATCTACTGACCTACCTCATGCGGCAGTGTGTTCCAGGGTTCTCCCACAATCAACAGAGGCAGACTACCTGTGATTGAAACAGCAACCCCAAAAGAATGAACAGGGATCCCAAATGACAAAGAGAAGTAGACAACCAAATCCTAGAAATTTGAGGAGAAACGAAACGAGACAAACCTCAGTATCCTTAGAATTAAGGATGTGCAATCCCAAAAAAGATCTAGAGATCTAAAAAATGTCCCAGTCTCTGGTACCACAAGCAGTCAATACAAGTTTGTCAGATTGGTGAATGAGTTATAAGAATAAGTAGATGAAATAAATAGAAGAATGAATGCCAAGAATGAGTTAATAAGGTAGAAGGTTGAATTACAGCCCTTTCCAGAACACAGTGAGAGACCAGTTAAGCCAAAGTATGAGAGAAAAATTGAGACATGGAAGGTATATTCAAAATTTTGACATCTATCTAATAGAAGTTTCTTTTTTTTTTATTATTTTTTTTAATGTTTATTCATTTTTTTTTTAATTTTTTTTTTTTCAACGTTTATTTCTTTTTGGGACAGAGAGAGACAGAGCATGAACGGGGGAGGGGCAGAGAGAGAGGGAGACACAGAATCGGAAACAGACTCCAGGCTCTGAGCCGTCAGCCCAGAGCCCGACGCGGGGCTCGAACTCACGGACCGCGAGATCGTGACCTGGCTGAAGTCGGACGCTCAACCGACTGCGCCACCCAGGCGCCCCTAATGTTTATTCATTTTTGAGACAGACAGAGACAGAGCATGAATGGGGGAAGGTCAGAGAGAGAGGGAGACACAGAATCTGAAACAGGCTACAGGCTCTGAGCTGTCAGCACAGAGCCTGACACGGGGCTCGAACTCACGGACCGCGAGACCATGACCTGAGCCAAAGTCAGACGCCCAACCGACTGAGCCAACCCAGGCGCCCCTCTAATAGAAGTTTCTTAAGGAAAGTGGAAAAGAATATCATTGTCTCCAACCTGAAGACAATAACCTACTTGCTTTCCCAGGGACCAAATTCATCCATTTAAAGGGAAACAAGGCAAACTTAGGGGACAAACACAGGTAGAGGACAAACAACAGTAATAACTCAGCTGTCTGGCATTGATCTACAACACAAGGAATGGCCCAATGATACGAGTTTGATATGATTTTTCTTCATAAACCAATGTTTAAATGCCAACATTTAAAAAATGTTAAACATTTCTTATAGATAAAACATTTATAATTCAACTTAATAAATGAGCTCTTTTGCCGACCTGCCTCCAAATAGCTTTTGGCTGTTCACCAAAATTAAATATATCCTTAAAGATTTGGGGGGGGGGTCACAATTTAGGGTACGGAAAAGAATATAGGCTTACTTTCAAAATGTAAGAGTTAAGCCACAGGGGGGGGAAAAACTGAAGCAGGCAGTCTCCTTGTACAGATGAGAAAACGGCAAAGACTGATTTGTCAAAGGATTTACACTGCTAATGTGTGGTGAAACTGCCACGTCAAGTTACAGAAAACAGATCTAAGAAGGTCACTGTGTAAAGAAGAGAAGAGTCTGGAAATGAGTCACTCGGCTTTCTGACATAGCAGACTTTACATGTGGCAGGGAGTGCATTTTACACCTCTGGAACTAGAACTAGTTCGTAAGCACCTCCCCGAGATCTTGAGATGGCCAAACCAGGTTTAGCCATGTGCTTTGTGGCTAACAAATGGCTAACAATCTTTTTAGTAAGTTATGTTGCAATGTATGTATCAAGGATTATTAAAACGGTCATTCTTTGAACGAATCTTATGTTAGAGGAAGTAACTTCATAATTCAAGAAAATAGAATCCACATGAACGAGGATATTCTTTTAATGCCTCTAGAACAGCAAAAACTCAAAAACCGGTGCCTATGACTGGCAACAAATGGACTGTGTGAAAATGTACAATTCAACAAAAGTATAAATTATACCACCATTACCATGTATATTAAGAAGTAGAAGATATTATGTAAGAATGAAATCAGTAAGATCAGCAGGTAATATATTTTTCTTTGGAAATCCTTGATGTCCTTCTTGTAGGGATGGCCAGCCATCTAGTTCAACCCACAACTACATTACTCTTGGGTTTTACTATTTGAGATTGTGACCATGTGAACCTTTATGAACATCATGATTATACTGATCAACTTTTGTTTCAAGTACACGAAAGTTTGAAGGCCTGAAACTAGAAACAGTAATAGTAGTAAAGAATGATTATATAGGCATGCACCTTTTAAAAAAACTCAGGGTACTTGGC